CTATGAATATTCTGCCAATAATTATGAACATTCATATTTATATATTTGAAAACAAATGGAACAACATTTTCTAAGTTCCCAAGATGCGTTAAAACATTGTATCTTAAAATAGCTCTAAGTGCCACTTTTTCGAAAAATTTTACTTTGACTTTTAAACATCATAAAATTATCAATAACGATCGGTCCGATGTGGTATTTTAGAATGTTATAGGAATCATTTCGTTAAACATTTTCTCACTAATACACAACATCGATTTGCTTAGTAAAAAAATGAGTATATGTATTACCCGTTTACCCGATTATTTTCACGGATCATCAAGTGAGTCGATACTTTTTTTAGGGGAGTGTAGGCAGAAAGTGAAACATGTGATGATCACATGTGCTGTTTTGGAACATTTATAAGGCTGATTTTTATTACACCACCATTTTTATATCCAGGTGTGAAAATTTATGAAATATTACAAAAAGTAATCAGAAAATGTATGGTTTTCCATAAATTTTCTGACAAAATTCTTTATAGGGAATCCAAATTTCCAAATAATAAAAAGATGAAAGCAAACAACAATAATAAAATTGTTAAAGAACATTTTATCCAAGTTTCCAAATAATAATAAAAGATGAAAGCCAAATTTCTATATAATAACATGGCAACAATAAAATTAACCATTTATCCAAATTTCCAAATAATAATAAAAAATTGAAAGCAAACAATAATAAAAAAATTGTTTAATTAAAAATAAAATAAAAGATAATATGAACAACGAACCATCAAATTCCAAAAATATGTATAAATAAAGATGAAAATTTTTTTTATCAAATTCTTACAATCCTATACAATTAAAACATTTGAAAATCCCTCATTATCATTATCCATTAAAAAACATGTATATATCACTGAACAAAAATGCAAGTTATTGTTTATTAAAACAAACCAAACCCAACCAAAAAATATTGAATTAGCACAAAATATGGAGTTAGTGAGGTCAAGTTAGTGAAAAAATTGTATTACTCAATTATTATTATGTTTATTAAATAAAATTATAAATAAAAATATTATGAATTGACCACATGATTATTATTTGCAAATTACCTATAACAGTCTTTTTTTGCCAAAACAGAAGGACTATTATCAGTGTTGACAACTTGACAACTTGACTAAGTCAGTTTTTATATTCATTGGGCTGACTGGGCCGGACCACTGGTCTAAGTCCAGTTTTGGTCCAATGTGCTGCGGAGAGTCCAATTTTTGTTGGCCATTGGACTTTTCCAATAATTAACTGGACTGGATTGGATTATTCTAGTCCAGTCCAGTCCATAATATTTATATATTTTTTTTTATTCTATTCAATTTAAAAAAAAATTTACAATTGTCCAATATAACATGGTGGTTGTAAATCTACAGTAAACAAATTGCACAATTCCCATTTTGCACTATTAACTCTTTTTGGATGTGTACAATTTGCAATTTAAATAATAGAATCATCATTAATTCTATCATCACATCATTTGTAGTTGTTTCATTTTCTTCATATTCACAAAGGGCTATACCTTCGGTTTCTAACATTATTTTCCATAAAGATAAACCTTCATGATCAAATTCACCATAATTGTGACTTTTCATTAAATTCAATCAGATCAGTTTGATCATCCTGGTTCAAATTTTGTGCAGAATTAGAATGATACATATTTTTAATCAATTCAAGATCTTGTTTCTATGAGGTTGCTTGATAATTCCTTGAATCTGTGCCATTTTAATTACCATTTATACTACATTAAAAAAAAATTAATTAAAATGAAGAACATCTCAATGTAGTGTCAAAAAAAATCACATTAAGTCTATTTTATGTGAAGAATGTAAAAATCCTGCAGATGACCATAAATTTCAATTGACACAAAGTTTATGCACATACTGAAAATTCTTTTAGCTACATAACCCAACTCAGTTGTTTTCTTTCCACACCCCCAATAATTCAATATGCCACCATTCCATTGAATTCCAAGTGATTTCATTGAACGGATATTGTTTATTTTGATACATATTAAACTCACAAAGTATTTTCACTGGCTGGCTTTGATTCCATGCACAATATATATTTTGTCAATTGATGTTTACCCATTTTTAATAAAACAATAATGGAATACATCAGGAAATTTTCCCTGCTGTAAGATTACATCCATAAATTTAATATGTAAAGTTGCAATATTTGCATAAAAATTATATGGGGCATGCTGCAACAAAACCAGACAAAGTGAACATTGGTATTACCAAGGATTTCAGGGATCAATATCGTTTTTTAACATCACAATTATATTATCATGTAATGTGATCATGATATTTGTCTAGACAAAAATAGTTAATTTTACATAAGGTCTACTATGGAACCCAAGAATTACAGCACCATTAGAAGTATTTTGAAAAAGGAACAAGGTGAGAAAATTGCTCCTTACATTTTTAAATTAGCAGATACCAAATCTTTGCAAATATATTTAGAAATTTATCAAGAGGAAAGAGTTTTCAAAAGAGTATTAGAATTCTAGTAAAGAATCAAGGAAAAAAAGAAAACTTGCAGAATAACTTGATAAAAAAAATAATTACTTTTTTTCCAACTTTAATTTTCAATCAAAGTCATTTTTTAGTTTCTTTAACTTCAATTTGAGCAATTAATTGACCATTTTGTTGTTGTAATTGAGTTAATTGAGTTTTTAACTCATTGATCTCTTTTATTAATTCTCGTGGAGTTAATTCTTTTAGTTGTTTATTTTCTTTTTCTAATTGCTTAATTTGATCTAATAATTCCTGTTTCTGTCTTTTATGCCAATCTTCAGCCACTCCTAAAGCTTCCAAGTGTGTATCTACTTCCTCTTCTAACTGTCTTTCCTTTTCTTGCAAGCCATTTATTTGCTGTTTGTAAAAAAGTGCCATTCCTCCATTTTGATGAGGTAAAAGAGGAAGTTCTTCTTCATTTTCCTCTTCTTTGCAATCACAAGTATATCTAGTCTTTAACCTTCCACAATCACACTTAGGCAATTTATCATTTTCAAACTTCTCTTTACAGTTTTCACAAGCCTTATCACTTTCAACCATTTCACCAGTCACTTTGCTTCGCGTTCTGATTTGACAAACTGCTTTTTTCAAACATCCGGAAAATATAAAAAAATTTTACACATGTCAATTGTAAGTTTAATAATAAAAAAGTGTAAAACTTACATCGGCACTGTAAGATTTACACAATATTACATCGGCATCGTAAGATTTATGCAAGTTTACGCTAAATTAATTTCCTGATGCTGAGACTAAGGATGTTAGCTGAAATGGTTTTTGAAAAAATCAATTTCGGCAAGCAATTTCAGTTTTACAATAAAATATTCTTTATATCAATAGACATAAAAAAATTACTCAGGATTTTGGCTATTGAGTTAAAGTGTTCAAATAATCTCAGATATAATTTCAACAACTAATGAAGTTGATTTTGGTAACTATTTCAGCATTTCGGATTCAGCAATGATCATTTATTAAGGATACCAGCTGCAACTTTTGATGATGGTTGCTACCATCTTTGCAACTACCTTTACGATCATTTTGTTTCCTCTTTTGGATTGCGACATGGAACACTAATTATTATTATAGATGATTACTGATTGGCAAAAAAGTTTATCAGCTTGTTCACAACAGTTGTAGATACTGGAATGAAGTATCCAAAGTTGCACAATTGGTGTTATCATATCATTGATATAGTGAAAGAATATGGTGCTATCAATAGTTTTACCGCTGAGACCTATGAGTCATTACATAGATTTTGTGTCAAGATCCCATATAGAATTAGTAATCACTGAGATGTAACTTTACAAATAGTTAATACTGTAATATAAATTATTTTTATAAATGATAATATATGTTTAAGAATTACTGATGAAAGTTAACACAACTCTATTGTAAATTCAGGTACAACATGACAGGATCCTTAGTTATAGCATCATTACCTTCTATTGGAAAACACAATCATCAAATTTCAACACTAAGTGGTATTGAAGGCAATTTTACATTATCCACTTTTGACAGCTTTATTAATATATACAAGACTTCACATCATTTGGCATCTGAAGCTGAAAAAGCATTTGATGTGCTGATTGATTCATTAAATGAGTATTTTGATTTTATTTTAAAGCAACTCTTATGAAATGGTTTTTTTATAGTGAGCTGAATATTTATAGTACAACAGTCCCAGATCACATGCATCATTGTGATTTGAGATTATTCAATTATATTGTGGACAAGAAGGTATCAATGAATTCAACAAATGTTTGGCAGAAATTCCACGTTTTCCTGGATTCAAATCTTTCAAACATGGTCTTGGTAATATTGTATGTTTTACTGTAGCAGAGTTCCGAAGCATGATGAAGCAATTAGTTTTTGTTATTGATGATTTAATAGTTGTTAAACACAAGCCAATTTTAAATCTAGCCAGGCAAAACTATGCAATAAAAAACTTATGGATATATTTGTTGTAAGGAAACTTTTATGGATTCTGAACTTGTAAATTTTCAGGTAATTTTTATAAAGGTTTAAAATAAATGTTCCTATTATTTTTTAATATCAAACTTTAATTATTATTATTATTATTAAGGATACCAGCTGCAACTTTTGATGATGGTTGCTACCATCTTTGCAACTACCTTTACGATCATTTTGTTTCCTCTTTTGGATTGCGACATGGAACACTAATTATTATTATAGATGATTACTGATTGGCAAAAAAGTTTATCAGCTTGTTCACAACAGTTGTAGATACTGGAATGAAGTATCCAAAGTTGCACAATTGGTGTTATCATATCATTGATATAGTGAAAGAATATGGTGCTATCAATAGTTTTACCGCTGAGACCTATGAGTCATTACATAGATTTTGTGTCAAGATCCCATATAGAATTAGTAATCACTGAGATGTAACTTTACAAATAGTTAATACTGTAATATAAATTATTTTTATAAATGATAATATATGTTTAAGAATTACTGATGAAAGTTAACACAACTCTATTGTAAATTCAGGTACAACATGACAGGATCCTTAGTTATAGCATCATTACCTTCTATTGGAAAACACAATCATCAAATTTCAACACTAAGTGGTATTGAAGGCAATTTTACATTATCCACTTTTGACAGCTTTATTAATATATACAAGACTTCACATCATTTGGCATCTGAAGCTGAAAAAGCATTTGATGTGCTGATTGATTCATTAAATGAGTATTTTGATTTTATTTTAAAGCAACTCTTATGAAATGGTACACTAATTAATGCATTTGTCAGAGGAACTGATATTGTGCGAGCTAAAAGTAAATATTACAATGCACCTGCATTTAGTGACATTGCAATAAATATGAATGAGGAAGAGGCAAAAGAGTATAACACAATTGATGGTATGTGCTTTGCTAAGGTAAATTAAAAATTATTATTTAAATTAATCTTTGAATTTTTATTTATTAATATACAGTCCCCAGCGAAAGTAATGGTGTGTAATTTTTTATGAATAAAAAATGTACTTTATTATAAATTTAAAAAAAAGATTTTTTGTTTCTTAAAGCCAAATAGTATGGCTATAACTTTTGTTATTGTTAGTACTTTGTATGAGCTCCTTCAGCATCTATGAATGCCTGACCCAATTTTGCATACTATTAACTATAACGTTTTTTCAATTCCTCCCTAATAATACCGATAAATTTATCTTTTTTTTTTCTGCTATCATTTTTTTGATGTGTTTTTCAACATTAAGCTTGAAAATAGCCTATATATTCTCAATAGGATTAAGATCTGGGCTATATGAAGGCCAGGAGAGAACATGTCTTGGAAGGCAGGTATTCAGATCATTCGTAATGTCCCTAGATGTATACTTAGGGTTGTTATCTTGCTGAAAGACCCATATGCCACCTACTAATGCATCAGCATCATCATAAAGTTGTTTGTTTAAAATTTTACAATATATGTGGCTTTTCAGTAAAGATATGAATACTGCCCTTCCCTTTAAATTGATAGCACCCCAAACATGAACCTTAAGGGGATGTTTTACCATAGGCTGGACAGGTTTCTTTTCACAAGACCATGCTAGTATCGTATTGTGAAACAACTGGATAGTTATTTTGTCTGAAAAAATAACTTTCTTCCAGTTGTAATGCACATGATCTTGTGCCCATGACAAGTGGTTAATCTTTGCTTGTTCTATTAGAAGAGGAACTTTTCTGGGAAGAGTAGCAAAATAACCGAGGTTGAAAAGCTCATGGTGAACAGTTCTCTCACTAACTTTGAGATCTTGGTATTTTTCTTCTAAAATAGCTTTCATTTTGGTGGCAGTTACTCTTGATGATCATTATCATTCTGAGTTGACACCGTTTTTCCGATGATAATTTTCGCAGACGACCTGAATGGCAAATTTCCAGAATTTTTCCTTTTTTTTTTTAATATGGTGACGTACCGTTGACATGTACATAATGGGATCCCTGTTCTATTTGAAATTTCTTTCAGAGTACAAATATTTTGCTTTCAGAGAAAGATAACGGCATTATGGTTGGCTTTAATAGGGTTCGAAGACATTTTCAAGGTAAAATAAACAAAAAACACTGATGACAACGATCATTGTTTTTTTTGTTTACTATATATCTATTTACGCGACTCAATGACAAATAAACATTATAAATGGATGTTTTATGGTATTACGCCTGAATAAATAATTCGAATATTTGCGCCATTACTTTTGTCAGGGACTGTACTGTACATACTTAAATTATATTTTCAATGAAAAAGCTTTTAATGTTATTTAGTTTAAAAATTCCTAGTCATGAAGAATAAAAGTTGGCATTAGTTCATTGGTATGACTTTAAATATAGCAATCTATGTCAATTATTCAAACATGATTGCCCACATATGAAAACTATTCCCATGTTTACAATTATAGCAGTTGATTCTATTATTGAGCCAATTCATGTTATTCCATGTTTTGGAAAACCAAATGAATACATTATAAATTTATTTTTTTTTTAGAGAAATAATTTGTAAATTTATGATAATTAAATAATTGCTAAATTCTAATATAAATACAGTATTTTAAATAATAAAATTGTATAAAAAAAATTTTTTTTACAACACCACCATGCATTATTTAATGGCAGTTTCTATCAATGCATTGAACAACATTTTTTTAATTTTCCTGATGTAGTAAAGAAAAATAAATTAATTTCTAAAACATTATTAGTATTAATATAATCAAAAATATAATAATAATGAGACTAGCTGATCATTGAAAATAATTAAAGTGACATGAAAAAATATAATAATTTTGTTATCCCAAGAACATTTGCTTATTAAGTAAAAAATAATCTTCATATCAAACATAATATACTGAATAGAGTACTATTAGATAATAAGCATAACTAGTGTTTATATTCATTCAAAATTGTTCGGACAATGACTGAATATCATGAATATCATACTATAAAAAAATTCAATAATTGATTGAATGTAGAAACCAAAGTTGTGAATCAGGAATTGTATTATGCTAATTTATAAAATTATAAATTTACATTTAAAAATTTAATTATCATTTAATATATATAAGTTTTATTGACTTTTTCACCAGATGGGAGAATCACTTTATGAGTAATTATTTTAGAACTCTTGGAATTGGACACAGAAATTTGATTATTGTTGTCATTAATTGTAATTAGCTGGTCATTCTGAACATTATCATTAACATTATCATAATTACTATTATCATTATTGTCAAGGGTGTTTTTATGATTAATATCTACTACAGCTTCAGTATTACTATCACTGTTGGTGTATTTGCAGCTATAATCATTGTTTTGAAATGATTTCAATATTACTAGTATTAAGTTCATTTCTATTTTCATTTTGATTTTCATTATGAGCTTGTTGATTTAATTCTCTGTCTTTTCCATCATCAATAACAACATTATTAACCATTTCATTTAGTTTCTTTTTTCTTCTATATATACAAAATAAGAATAAAAATAAGAGCAATGAAGAAGATTGTACCAGATGTAAATGATCCAATAATTATGCCTAGCATATTAGTAGTTTGTTCATCAGAAGCAACAATGGTGGTGGTTTTATCTGTTGAAAGATCAGCACTGGTGGTAGTTGTTGTATCTGTTGAAGGATTAGCACTGGTAGTGGTTGGTTCATTAACAGTGTTAGCAATGATTTTAGGATCAAATGTGTCCAGCCATTTATAATTATATTTGTCACTAATATCTAATAGTAAAATATTTTCATAGGGTTTATTACTAGGAACAAGCCTACCTATTATTATTATTGTTAAATGTAAATAAATTAATATTAATAATATATTTATGTATGAATTTTAAATTGTTATTATTATAAATTACCAAATGAGATTATCATGTAACTTTTATATAAATTTGAAGTATGCCAATTATGACTCTCATTAGTCAGATTAGCAGGGTAATTAGTAATGTTTGTTGGAACTGTCCATTGGAAAGGAGATTTGTTACATCCAATATTGCTATTTTGTCTGGTTCTAAGGTACCATCATACACAATTATCCTTCCATCAGATGCTAAAATAAATAAATATAAATTAAAAAAATATATTTAATTGAATAATTAATCATAAAATTAATCAATTTACTTAATACTGAAGAAGGTCCATTTCATATAGGCATCAGGAAAATGTGTTTTTTTTTATACACATATTATATGTGTATTATACATGTATTATTTTACATTACAGGTGATCTGCATATAATATACATATAATACACATGTCCATAAAGTACACACGAATTATACATATTATATGCAGATCACCTGTAATGTAAAATAATACATGTATAATATACATATAATATATGTATCAAAAAACACGTTTTCCTGATGCCATATTGCCATGCAGCAGAGGAGAGAAGTTGTCCTAATGATTTTTTATTTGTCCAACTTCCTTGAGGCCAATATTGTGTGTAGAGGGTGTTTCAAATACTATTTATGATAAGTTTATTGGTGGAGTCAGGGGTGTTTTGGGATGTAGTTACAGCTTGGAAACATTACCTCATATACTTGAAAGCACCTTCACTTCTGTTGAAAGGAAATTAATCTCCAAGGGTCAAGTGATAAAATGCTGTTTGTTAGCCAATAGAGAACCTTCAAAAACAGTTCAAGTCATTCTTTCAACGGCGCTTTGGATTGCAGGCTCAAGATCTTTATCTTTAAGGAATCCTCCAAGTCTGGTTTTCTACTGTGCATTGTTTGTATTTTGTGTTTTTTTCTTGAACAGATTTGGATGCACAATGTTTTTGAAGTTTACAAAGGCTGCTTGAAGAAAGTGAATGATCAGTCTCCTTACAAGTTGGACAAAGATGTTCTAGATATTTAAAAGATATATTAAGTGCTATTCCTAAAAAAATAAAGGCAGATAAATGGTAAGTATTTACTTGGTTTTTGTTCTTTGTTTATGTCCTTGTTTGCTTTTCTTTTAGCTGCATTTTTGAAGATTCTGCATATGGTATATCTGTTTCTATATTAATATTTTTGCATTTTTTTGCAAGAATCTCTACTTTTTCATCACTGGGAGCTTTTTGTTTGCTTTTATGTATTAACATTGAAATGATAAAACAGAATTGACAAAATTCTAATCATGAAAAAAAAAAATGGTTGAGAAAAAAAGTTGTTTTTTTGGTTTAAAATGTTCTTTTGATTTCTTATAATGGATGATGATATTGTATTTATTTGCCAAAGGAAATTGGAAGGAAATTGAATAAATTTTTTTTTGAAAAGATTGAAAAAATCACATCATCTGTTTACTTTTTATAAGAAAAGCATCATTTTATTGACAATTGAATTGATTATTGATTATTAGCTAAAGATGCTATTTACTATTACTATCATTTATCTCGTTTTTTTTGGATTGTATCATTGATTTGTTTATTACTAAAAATAATACATGCATTTAATTGAGTTGATTATTTGTTTATTACTAAAAACAAAGTGCTGCACATTTAACTAATTGATTATTTGATTACTTTTAAGAAAAGCATCATGCATTTAATTAATCAATTGATAATTGAAATTTATTATTCATTTACTTGATAATTGGATTGATTATTTGTTTATTACTAAAAATAAAGCATTGTGCATTTAATTAAATGACAATTGAATTGATTATTTGTTTATCCCTGTTGGGATAAAAATATTGTTACTGGAATTAAACTTTGACAAAGATCTTTTGGCCAAATCTCTTAATTCTGGGACAATTTAATCTCTATTTTTATTTATTTTATTATTATTTTCTAATTGTTTATTTTATTGTTTACATCCCATATATTTAATTATCATTAATTAATTCATAGCATGTTAATATTTATTTAATTTTATTTAAACAAAAAAAAGAAAGATACTCTGCCACCAGGGTGGTTGTGACATTGCAAATGTTTGTTTTCTGTGTTAAATTAAATATTTTTTTTTTAAATAATAGATGAATTAATTCCAAATTGTTTTTCTAGTGGCGATGCTAATACTAAATCAATAATGGATTGATTTCTTGCTGGTATTTTTAGTAGCAGGAGAGAATCTTTTTCAAAAAAGCTTAATTAATTTCACATTTTTGGAAAAGGCTCAATTTTAATCAAATGATTTCTTTTCATTTTTTTTTTTTACTTATAAATACAACCCTTGAACATTTTAAAAAAAATTGGGAGAGTGATCATGATCAAAAGATTTATACAACGCAATCAATTTTGTGAAACGAAAATTTTCCTTTTCTTTCGAAAATTTCCAGAGAGAGATAGTATCGTTGCCAATTCTTTCTAAATATTACCAGAATATTGCCAATCTTTTCTAAATAGTTACAAAGTAAGGAATATAATATACACAAAAAAAGTCTTTCATTATTTTCTGTCTATGTCAAATAATTAAAATGTTTTGAAATATTACCCAACATTATCAAAATAAATATCTATTCCATTTGGACATAATTCTTCCAATTTCTGATCAAAAAAATTTTTCAAGTAAATAAATAAATACAAGTATATACACTCACGCATACAATTAATTAATTATTAAAAGTATCACCTTTTTGGTGTCAGATTTTTTATAATTGAAGGCTCCATCTATTTTCAATTCATTTAAAAGAAAATCAATCTTACTATCATCGCCAGCAGATCCTATATAAATAAAACAGCAAAATCAAATTACTAACGTATAATTTCCACAATCTAAAGGAAGAAAAAAAGGTATCAAGTATTTATTTACCAATGACACGTAAACCCAAAATTTTGGAGATTTGACAAACAACTTGGCCTACCGCGCCTGCTGCTGTCTAATTTTAATATCTAATTAATATCAATACTGTAGAAAATTGTCGTATTTGATTATTTTTACTTACTGAAACAAAAATAGTTTCGCCTTTTTTTGGTTGGCCGATTTTAAATAATCCAGTATAAGCTGTCATGCCAGGCATACCCAACACACCTAGAAAATAGCTAATGGGAGGGGACCCGGACACTCTACTAGAATTTAAAATTTCAATAAAACCTGCATTTTGATTTGCATCGTTGGCTGAGATCACCGAGTATTCTTCCCATCCTAAACGAATGAAAAAATTGTATTTTTTTAATATTTTATAAAATAATAAAAAATTTTATATGTGTAAATATACGCATACCAGTAAATCCAGAATATAAATCATTAATTTTATATTTTGAATTATTGCTCTTAACCACTTCACCAATACCAGAGGTCTGCATAATTTCGCCAAGAGGAAACGCATCAACATAAGACTCGATTTCAGGTGATCTCATTCTGCCACGCATATAAGGATCTAATGATATATAGATATTTTTTACTAATATTTCATCTTGCTTGAGAACATAAGAATCAATATCGATTTTATTATGTACAGCTTCGATATGTTCACCAACTACTGGATATTGGCTTGGAATTGATTTAAATTTAACTCCTGTATTGTTGGTCATCTTTTTTAAAAAGCAATATTTATTATTGTGTATTTTTTTATATAAATTGAGGTTCTTATTTATTTATATAGAGGAAAAATTATTAATCGGCATCGGATGAGCATCTTCAGATCAACACCACCATTTACTAACTTATTCATTATTTATGCATTCACACTTGACATTTTTCTAATTGACATATCAGGATGATCAACTCCATTGATTTTCTTTCAATCCTATTTTTGTGTATATTATATTCCTTACTTTGTAACTATTTAGAAAAGATTGGCAATATTCTGGTAATATTTAGAAAGAATTGGCAACGATACTATCT